CTCTTTCCCACTCATAAAATGAAGGCAACATCACTCCCCACAAACACTTCCTTTAGTTTCTCCATCAGCAAATGTATGCAAAGTGCTTAGCACAGAGCCTGGCACAGAGCGAGCACAAAGTGGGTAGAGTATTAGTGGCAGCCCTGTCCAGCAGAAATGTGATAGGTGCCATGTGTGTAATTTTAAATTTTTCAGAAACCAATGAATGGGATGGAAAGAAAGTTTATTATAATTAGATAACTTATTTAACCTAATATGTCCAGAATATTAATGTAATTTATATTCAACAATTTGTACATTTCTGTAACAGAATGGTGAAGTGCTTTGTTTAGGGAGCCAAATCCCTCATGGCTTATCACAGTTCAAGTCCTGTTCCCAGTGGCTTGAAAAACACTCCAGCCGCGTGTCCATGTACGCCCCAAATCAAGAGAAATGGAGGAAAAAGGATTGTGCCATGATCATGTCCATTTGAGGAGTGTTTTCCTCCTCTTTCTTTAGTGGGTCAATGCGCGCGCGCACACACACACACACACACACACACACACACGTATATGTACACACACAATAAATTTTACATTTTGTTCATGTGTATGTTTAGTCTTTGAAATCTAGTGTGTAGTTTTGCATCAACAGTGTATCCCAATCCAATGCAAAATTTAAAACAAAGTAAAATGTGGTCTTAACAAAATGAAGTTGTATTTAATGGGGAAAATACCTTGCATGGCTTCCATTTTACAAACTACATTTAAATACTTAAAATTAGGTAACATCAAAACCAATTCTTCATTAATGCTTGCCCACTTCAAATGTCCATGAACCATGTGAGCCTAATGACCAGGGTGTGGGGCAGTACAGAGGTGGAGGAGACCCAAGGACATGGCATAAAAAACTCAGCTCTCCATGTTTAACTCAGTAATGTGCTCTTCTCTGACCCCACATGAAGTCCCAAAGCAGACTGTCCAGGACTGGTGCAGTGGCTGTAAGATGTGACCGTGTGCCAGGCTCTCTCAACCTCTCTGCTTCACCAACATTAGGGCAGCAGCTTGAGTTGTCCCCATTATGCCCTGGGTATTGTGCCCTCACTGCAGACAGAAAAAAGGAAAAGGAGAGGAGCTTAAAGGAAAAATGACCAAAACCTGAGTCTGCTCAGCTACGAAGGTGATTTCTTGGGAGCCCCATCAATGACACTTAGCTTTCATTCAAGTGTCATTAACCAAACCATCACACAGAACTACCCACACTTCATGGTGTGAAGTTGGCAAATTTAGTGTTTTATTAGGGTATGTTTCACCTCCAGTGAAAGTGGAGTTCCTCAGTGAGAGAGGGGACCATTGATGTTTAACAAGCAACTGACACCCTCCCTCAGCAGTGCCACCTACAGTTATCATTACTGGTTCTATTGTTACTGTTACTCCTACTACTACTACTACTTCTACACTACTGTAACCAACACTCAGACAATCAAACGGAAGTGGCCCCATAGCACAGTGGTTTAGAACTGTGCACAGAAAGCTGGATCCTACATGGCTAGCTGTGGTTCAAATCCTGGTCCCAGAGGCTTGAAAACATGCTGGACGTGTGTGTGCATGTGTAAACAGGGTCCTGATGAGATGGAGAGATGGAGGAAAAAGGATTGTAATATGACCACACCCGACTGAGGGTAGGGTGCGTTCTCTCACACTCTCTTTTATGCATGTGAACATAAACATATGTACCCTCTATCAATAAAAATGGAAAAAATTATGAAGTATGGTTAAGGAAAACACACACACACACACACACACACACACACCTTGCATCATCACCTCAAAATTCAGAACACACACACACACACCTTGCATCATCACCTCAGAATTCAGCTAGGTGTGGCCCAGGGAATTAGAATGATCAGGGAAGAGAAGGTGGGAGCACTGGACTGTCTTCCTGAGTAGGATGTAGATACCAGGACAAAATAGAGTCTTTGGGACAGAATGAGGTGGGGCTTGGGCAGAAAACGCCTCCTTTGTGGGGATGAGGTTGAAGGTGTTGCTTGAGGTAGTGTTGGATGG